ATAAATATATTATTATATTAAAATTTTAAAATACTAGTGTATTTATGCAATACGTCCACATACCTTTGTAAAATATTTTATTTTTTTTCTCATTATTTTACACGGAATCGTCTTAGCACGGAAATATATATGACGTATGGTTGTTAAAACCGATGTTATTCATTCTATAAGTCCGTAGTTTGCTCTTCTTCTAAAATCCACATTATTTGTAATGATTTTATATATCAAATAAGAATAAACATATTTATTTTACAACTAGATTAATTTTATCTTTAATACTACAGCGTTCGGTAACAATTACAATGTTTTACAGCTATAAAAATCGTGTTATTAAAAAGTTGAATTTAAACATCGTACATATGTGCAGAAAATATTGTAAGAAACTTAAATTAATAATTTTACTTAATGTGCATGTATCGTCTTTCTTAGAACACTTTCCATTGATTTGTTTATTTATTTATTATTCATTTATTTATTTAGCACCAGGAATACATAAAATAGAATAGTTTCAATGCAAGGAAAAGATCAGAGGCATTCCGAATAAATCGTTCATCTTGCGTTCACCGTTCGTTCACCGTTCACTTTGCGTTCGCGTTTGCGCTCCGTTCGCGTTCTGCGTTCGCTCACCGTTCAGCGTTCACCAAGTTGTGTTCAGCGTTCACACACCGTTCACCGTTCGCTCACCGTTCAAGTGGGGAAGTAGAACGTTTCAGGGACTGTACGTGAAAAGAAGAAAACACTTGCTGTGGCCTTCAAGTCGACATTTAGATATATCGACGATGTATTGTCAATTAACAATGGCTATTTCCATTCTTATGTCGATACGATATATCCTGGTGAGCTTGAAATAAAAGATACCACAGTCTGACACATCTGTTTCATATTTGGATATTTTACTTGAAAAAGACGTTAATGGTAATATAACAACCAAGCTTTTTGATAAACGTGATGACTTTAATTTTACAATCGTCAACTTCCCTTACTTATGCAGCAATATACCTTCATCACCTGCATACGGGGTATATATCTCTCAGTTGATTCGATACGCAAGAGCATGCTCTACGTATGTACAATTTCTAAACCGAGGTAAATTATTGACAAACAAGTTGATGAAACAAGAATATCAGCTGTCTCATTTAAAGTCATCATTTTGTAAGTTCTATGGTCGATACAATGACATTGTCAGCAAATACAATTTATCATTGAGTCAAATGCTGACTGACGTTTTTCATACTAATTGTTAGGCCATTATTTACACACTGAATTGTCGACGGATTTTTCCGTTATTTCCCGATCATGAAAAGGAGCACACGGCGGGTATGACCAGTCGGCAGGGGATGCTCACTCCTCCATGGCACCTGATCGCACCTCTGATATTTAGAGGTCCATGTTTGCTCTGCTCCTATTTTGTATTGTTTAATGGACTTTTGAGCTTGAATACTATTCGTTATCTCCATATATTTCATGTAGTTAGTTAGTTGGTAATTATTTAGGGTTATATTGCCCCCACATGAAAATTTCCACATTTACAGTATTTTATTCATCAATCACAGACAAACAAACAAATGACACAAGTCTTTTATATGAGTATACATATGAAAGGGCATAAATAATGTTGAAATGAATGAGTTTAATATTTACACCTTCATTCATATTCAATATTCTTTTGTCAATTAAAAAAAACCTTTTTATTTCAGTGTAAAGTGAATCCTTAATAATTTAACATTTTTTATTCTACATTAATTTGGCAGATATTCTTGTATTTAAATTTCAGATTTTTTGTGTCGCTTGCAGAGCAGAGCGACACTTAGGGATTTAACCGGAGTCTGCTCGTCTCTAGCTGTCTGTCAGACCTTATATCTTGAGAACTTTATGAGGAATTGATTTGACTTTGCTGGTACTTAAGCTTTTGTTAAATACTAGAGTTACTGACCTTGAAATCTGAATCAGACCTTTGACCTAATTTCTTTTCTAGAAAATGGTGCGGATATACAGCATTTTGTTTAAATTTGCTAAGTAAGTCACTGCTCTTTAGCATGTGCACTGTTTGTCAAAATGTCAGCGTTAACGTTACAGTCCACTTGACCCTGACCTTTGACATATTTTTCATTATTACTCCAGTCGGTAAATTAAACTGATGCCTTTTGAATTTAAGAGGCAGTGCTTCAATATATATCATAATTAAGACATTGTACTTTTAAATTGTATGATAGAAATTTACTGCAAAAATTGAAATTTAAGTAATAGAAGTTATACAGAAATGGATCCTTATAGACTGACAACTGCAAAAAGAAAAAAAAATGAAATCTTTTTAGTTACAAATCATATTAAACATGTTTGGAAAAAGTAAGCCATTGTTATTTCTTATAATTTCGATTTTATTATTCATTTTGGTTTTGAGGGTGAAGGAACCATATCTCCATTTGATTGTGATATTTTATGATAAATGTAATTCTATCGCATTTTTTTCTTTGCAGAAAAATTCAAATACATGTAAGCAGCTGGCAACTCCTAGTTTTCTTTTATTTTTACTGATGCTACAGCAGGAGACACATGTGTTCCTTAAAAACTTCTACAGTTGAAATATTTGAGAAATACTGTGACTAATTTTTTTCTTTGGCCCCGGGGGAGTGGTGCTTGTGATGGAGAGGTGGGGGGGGGGGGGGGCTGGATAATGTTTTAATTTGTGAAATTCTTTCATCTTGCGATTAAGACAACTTTGTTCTTTCAACATTGATTTCAATTCGAGTACTTTCTCAAATGACAAGAGAATCTTTTACCAGCAATTTTCATAGCGCTATTGAATTATAGTAGGGTGTTACGGGGCTTTGTTTTGAACTAATTGACTACTATACATTCTATGCATATAATTAATCATATAAATTGGTTTTACTGTTTTAAGATAAAAGTTTTATAAAGTATTGCTCCAAGTCTTTGAAATACATTCGAGTCCCTTCTTACACTCCCTTTCCAAAGGACAAGGACAATTACATGATTTTGACCCCTTATTTGATATAAAAAATCAAAACATCTAGTTAAATTGTGATACTTTGCAGTTTAGAATTTAAATGAACTTATTTTGATTCAAAGCGAATACATGGAATCTATAACACTGTGCAAAAGTAGCGCATTTTTCCGAAATTCCTCCATTCTAATAACTTTGTCAAATTAGAGATACTTTCCAGTTTGGGAAACATGGTGCACGTCAAGCTTGTCTATGTGAGATTTTAATACACAAAATACATCTGATACTGCATATACTAGTGCATAAAATATATAAGTCTTGTGCTCTGTATTTTCTTTTTTTAAAAAATGTGATGTAAAATTTATGAAAATTTGCTTAAAAATTGTCATATTTTGTGACCGACCTTCCTATGATTTTCACGTATCCCATAACCTACGCCATAACTTCTGAACAGTTGGTGCTTGGGGTTTCAAACTTCACATGTGTATTCCTTGTGACAAGACCTTCCTCTGGATATCAACCTCTTTGACCCTTTGACCTTGACCTAGGAGTTTGACCTACTTTAGAAAAACTTTAACCTTGGCCATAACTTTTGAATGGTTAGAGCTAGGGCTTTCATACTTCACATATGTAATCCTTGTGACAAGACCTTCCTTTGGGTACCAACCACTTTGACCCTTTGACCTTGACATATGAGTTTGACCTACCGGGTACTTTCGAAAAAAAACTTTATCCGTGGCCATAACTTTTGAATGGTTGGTGCTAGGGCTTTCATACTTTACATATGTAATCCTTGTGACAAGACCTTCCTTTGGATACCAACAACTTTGACCTTGACCTTGATGTTTTACTTACTTTTAAAAAACTTTAACCTTTGCCATAACTTTTGAACAGCTGCAGTTAGGGCTTTCAAATTAAATTTTTTTTATCTTTTGGCCTGGATTTTGACTTGCATTTGAGAATCTTTAACCTTCACCATAAGCTGCCATACGGGGGCATCAGTGTTTCACAAACACATCCTGTTTATCATTAAAGGGTGCGACTGCAGCACTTAATGATACATTAGTTTGTATCATTAGCGGTCGATCATGTTGATATTTGCTTGTTTCATTAAGCACTGGGGCTGCACTGCATTGATATAATTCTATCATTAAATGTCGATTTCGCACTAGCAGTTAAGAATGTCAACTATTAATGCAAGAATTTATGGCATTAAGCGTTGCAATTGCAATGCTTAATGATATTTTTATCATTAAGGTGTTTTATCATTAGCAGCTACAATGCTCATTCTCAGGTCATAAACAATCATTGTGCAAAAAAAATAAGCTTCCAACCTTTCTTATTTAATATAAATTTATAATATGTGGTCTTTTTCTATAAAATTCTATTAGATACAATTATTAATCACCAATTGTTCAATTACAGTCCAGAAAAACCAATGTATGATCATGTAACAAGTGGATACACTTGTACATAATAAGGACAGGACAGAGGTTGTCTTGTTGTATACACTTCTTTAAAATATTCATTACTTATATAATATGCTTTTAATAAAGTGGTCACAACATTAACGGCTATGACATTAAACATTTTATCTGGTATATGTATCATCTTCTGTACACTTCTGTTGTAACCATAATAACATATACTGTATCAAATGGATCAGTCAGTTCTATATCCTTAAATATTTGAAATGAGGTGTGACTTTCAGTCTAAAACCAGCCTTGTCAGGATGAGTAAAAGGAGAAGGGGGGCTGGTTTTAATCAGACTGGTGTGACTTTCAACCTTACTCTTCTACAGTTTACCAAGTGATCTTTTATACAATAATTCATATTCTTATTCACATACTGATACACATGAAAAAACAATTTCATTCAATGTAAGTAGGTTAATTTTCATCTTTTTTTTAAACTTTATATTCTTTACATCATTTCCAATTCATCTTTTATTTAATGGCAGCTTTCCTTTCACAGTTCTAGACTTCCATAAACATGATAAAAGCAGTATGAATAAATATGTATAGCAATAGCTTACCCCCAGATTCTGGTGGTTGACACTCATCACTGCCTTCTCTAGTTCACTTACTTCCACATCAATTTCTGAAACACAAGATGATACAAAAGAATAGAATTTTCTATTCACATAGTTGGGTAATGTGGATTGTAACATGTGCTCTTAAGTGAACCAATTCTTTAACTTTGTACATGTAAGCTCCCCTAAATCAAAATGCTCAAGTGAACTTTTCTTATCTAAGTATGTTGTCAGACCACATTTCACATTCTGAATTTTCCAGAACCACTGGGTCAATTTCAACCTACTTTTCACATGTTTGACTTAACTAAAACCACTAAGCTAATTTAAAGTTTTCAGCCAAACTTGATAAAGAGTATTCTGTAGTTCAAATGAAGGACCATACTCTATCCCAATGGGATATAATCAAGATAAGAGGCCCACGGGCCACAATGCTCACATGAGTAAACATTACCTTGCTGTTTTACAGATTTTTATAAGCCTACCCCCTCTTTATTCCTAAGAAAATATTTATTGGCTTGAACAAAAAAAAGTTGGTTGGATTAGCTAAGATGCTTTTACATAAGTTTCATTACTTCTGGTCAAGTGATTATTGAGAGGATTGGATTATTAAATAAATCTACAAATCAAATCAAATTTTCAGAGGCATCGACATTAACTTTCAGATTAACTTGCCATCCAGGCAAATGATCTCAAACTTTGACTTGTCTGAATGCAAAACTTCATTGCTCAAAATTAGGAAAGAAGAATATTATTTATTACCAATTTGGCAAGTTGATTTACATGAAAAAAAGTTTGATGCTGGATTTGAACATAAATGTGTACAACTGTCCTTGTCCATTTAACCAGTTAACATACACTGTCATGCAGCAATAACCCTCCATTTCCTTTCAATAAAATTCTTATTTTTATAAATTATTTTCGGTAAGATCCTTTTGTGAATTTTAAAGATAATTGTGAAGCAATGGTTCATATCTTGATCAGGATACACCGTGTTACTAATCTAATTACCTAATAAGAAGTTAACAAAGTTGTTAGACGAAGAGAGTATTTACCATGAAAGAAAACAGAATAACAAACCCGATTTGTAAATTGAAGGTATCATCTATAAATGCTACTAAGGGATTCCGAAAATACAAATCGATGTCAGTCAGGTTTCTGACTGAAATCAAGTGTTCAACTTATTGTTTTATTTATAAATTAATGTAAACTAAATAAACATGATAAATATGTACATCTCTATCAGGGATGGGTTCAATTACTTTAAAAAGTAATTAATTAAATTACAATTACTTTGACTTTTTCTTCAGTTAAATTGCAATTAAATTACAGGTTTTCTAAGATGTGTAATTAATTAAATTACAATTACTTTGCAAAAGTAATTAATTAAATTACAAATTACATTTTTAATTTTTTTTAAATTTTTATAATCCTTGTCATTGAATATACAGAACATAGTTTATTTGTATGTTAGCCCAGCCTCTGCACAAACAGTACAAGAAATAATATGCTACAGGCATTGTGTATCATTGTTGTTTAATTTATAACATTTATTTACAAAACATTAAAGAATCTCTTAAAGAACTATCCGAGATCAGTTTGATGCAGTTTCCACCACACAAAGCCTTACATGTAAGCAGATTGCATGGCTTATGATATTTGATTTAAGTGGGTATTTTAATAGAGTAAAGTGAGTCGCAACTGTAACCCCTCAGATTAAATATTTCTTTTGAAGGTAACCTGAACATCCTAAATTGCTATTTATACTTTAATATAAATAATACTTGTACAGATAGAAAATTCCTTCATAAAAATCTGCTTGAAATAATTATCAAATCGAAAGTTTTTCTTTTCTAAAGATAGCGGAACATTTTAAATTGAAATAATTATCTCCACTGGCTTTGTCTTCTAAATCATGGAATAAATATCTCTTTATAGGGAGTTGATTTGTTTTGATTGCAATTTACAGCTGTGATCTGGAGGGCAATTATCTCTTCCCAACAAGAGAGAACTTATTAATGACACACGCCTTCTTTTTCTTTATTAATGATCAAACAACAAAGATTGAAATATAATAAATGTGTGTTCCATAGGTGAAAAGACCTAAGAAGGGTGGTTCAAAATTCAGATTTATAAACATAAATCAAAAAATTCAAAATTTACATATTGATTAGAGAGAAACTAGATTATTATTATCATAAAGCCAATTATTTAGTTATTTGTTTGTAAACATTAACTTAAGATTTTGTTTCATTGAAGGATTGAGGATATGGTTTACAATAAAAAAAAAACAGTAAAATGGGGAGGTAGTGATGACAATACATATATATGATCATGAATGTGTATTATATAAAGTAATTGAATGTAATTGAAAAAGTAATTGAAATTACATGGTATTTTTTCAGTGTAATTAAATTACAATTACAAGTACTTGAAAAAATGTTCAATTACAAATTACTTCCAATTACTTCATAAATTTAATTAATTACAGTCAATTTCAATTACTTTTTTCAATTACCCCATCCCTGATCTCTATGAGAAAAATTCACTTGTCATATCAGAAAAGTACGTCAACAGTTTCACTTGCCAGAACTGAGAATTTACTTGTCCTGGGCAATCCGACAACCATTAACGTAGATCCCTGTTTCACTATTTTAAGTTACTATTGTCAACCTTTTAAGAAGGTTTGACTCCTCATTTTATAAAAACAAAAACATTGAATCCACTTCTTTGGAGGATTCTTTGTAGCAGGTTTGGTTAAAATATGGTCCAATGATTCTGGAGAAACTGAAATTGTGAAAAGATATTAAAAACATGAAAGACAAGCAGACTGACAGACAGAGAAAGAATGCTTGACATTCTCTGATCAGAAAAGCTCATGTGACCCTTTGACTATGACAGCTAAATAAAACTTTTAAAATTTTGTTTTGCTTTAATTTTAAAATTTGTTAAAATGCATTTGAATATATTTATATGAAACTAAAATAATTAGTATTAACTTTACCACAAAGGGTTCTTCCCAGATCCTCCAGACCACTGCCAGGCATTTTCAATGCTTTTTCCAGGTCATCCTTCCAGTGTCTGTAGAGGAGTAGACGAGAAATCAGCTCCTCTGCTGCCTCAGCTCTTCCCTCTTTTTCTTGCTTACTCTTAATGGCATCCTGTTGTTGATTTTAAATTATCAGATACTATTTAATCTCCAGATTAACATTTGCTTCTATTTTTGGTGGGGATAAAAAAGTTAAGTTTCATGTTGATACATTTGTTGAAATGAAGGCCAAGATTTACAGTCCTCTCCCATTTTGCCATGGTTCAATGAGAAAAGAATATTTCATATAGATCATTTGGCTGTCCAAAGTTAATTCTGTGTAACGTCACCCTTGCACATAGGTTTAGGAGAAATTTGCACTTAGAAAAAAACAAACAAATCAATATTTTGTGAAGATTGTACTCCAATTTGCTTTACCTTTTAGCAACTGCAAATGGAAAAGACAACATTTGAACCTATATGAGGGTAATTTGATAAATTGAGATGTCTCTATCATTTATGCTGACAGATTTACTAAATTTAAATACTATAGCCTACATGATGCACAAATATTTACAGTATTTTGATACATGTAAATTAGTAAATACTCATTTGTTAAAAATTTTTGTTTGTGTATTTCTTTTTCCCTGCCTCATAGGTTTTGAAGTTTTTAGGTGATCAGATGATAAACATAAAGTACCAGCCAGCTTTAATATATTGACCAATGCAAGTGAAGCACAGACTGAAAATGACATTTTACTCAACCCCTCAATACCAAATTGCAGTTGATATAACATTTGAATTATTGTATATTGTTGACTGCAATAGAAACAATTAGTTTCATTAATTTGACATGAAGTCACACATTAGAGTTGTGTATTCAAGATTACAAATTTTTATGTTATCAATCAGCATTTAGGAGAGAGTTATACATAGACTCTGGACTGTGGCTTGAGACATGTTGATCTTGAGGTTGAATAACCCCCTGCTTAAAGCGATAACTCTAACATTACTAACATAACTTGAATCTACACTATCTGAGGTTGCTTCCACATAAATATGCCTTAAAATGGCTTTGCTATTCTCCAGTTGATGTAAAACATTGATAGTTGAATTTGGCCCACCCCAGCCCAAGATTGAATTGAATGAACTTGAAAAGAATGCTTCCATATAAGAATCATGGTTTTGCTGTTCTTGGGAAGAATTAGGCTTTTTATTTTAGGCATTTCCATCCTTCTGTGATGCCACAGGATTTTGCAAAAATTGTTAAAATTTAAATTCATACCCAATAGTATTGTATCTTTTAGAAGAATACATTTTTAATTGGTCAAATAAAAAATATTGTTTAGTAAAAGAATTTAAAAAATTATTAAATCAATTATTCAATCTTTAAAAAAATGTTGCTAAGGGCAATAACTCCTTCTCATGTATCTTCATTCAGGCATTTTCTTCATTGTACTTCTAATGTAAAATGGTTTCTCTAATATTCACATTTCAAATACATTTACAATGTAACAATTATTTTTGGAACTTTCAGCATAAGAATTATGTATCTGAACCAGATTTTACATATTTTTTATGATACTGTTTACTATAAATGTACCATACATGTGATAAGTCAAAGACCACAAAACTGTACAGGAGCCATAAAAAAACTGGAATTTGGGTGAAAAAACTGTACACTGCCTATCAAAAAACGGTACAAAAAAATTGTATAAAATATTGCTTAAATTCTTCTGAAATTCCATCGTAATCATGATTGTAATAAACATCGTATATTTTATACCTACGAAGATCTGGGTCAGATTCACGTATATTAAGACTAATTAAAGTCATGTATATCAACTTTAGAAGTTGGCTTAATTTTTTTCAATCAAGTTACATATACGAAACATTAACAGTAATTAAGTACCCCTTAAAAAATAAAGCTACCTAAAGGGGTATTTGATACGGATTTATAGCAAGATAATTATCCCAATTGGCAGTTCACACCTTCGCACGCGATGGTTTGTGTACACTACCCAATTATCAGAAGGTCAAGTGTCAAACACAGGTGACGTTTTCCAGTGTCTCGCGAGCGAGAATGAGAGGAAAATGGCGGCATTTAGCGAGAAATTCAAAATACTGTACAAATTTTCATATTCCGTGAATTTTGGTGTCCCGCCGGTACACGATGAATGGGCTCAAAAAACTGTACATTTTGCGTACAGCCTGTACATATCACATGTATGATGTACATTTCATTTTTTTATGCTGACAAATAATTTTGTTTATTTGAACATGTTCATGTCTTACATCTGAAAAAAAAATATGGCAACTTATAATTTTTTTGCAATTATTAATTCATCTAAACTATATTCAGTAATAATAAATGCAGTTTTTCTACTTTGAACCCATAAAATTGTTAGGGTGGAAATACCTTATATATTCATATGTAAAACTTTGATCACTATCCTGGGGGAAATAATTTGAGCAAATCTGAATCTATACTTTGTAATGAAGCTTTTACAGAAGCTTCATTTTTTCTCTGGCCCAGTGTTTCTTGAAAAGGAGATTCTTAAGGAGGAGAAGGACCTTGAGCTGAAAAAATACTTGTCATTCAATTTTTTTCATATTTTGTATATTTCTAATTAAGTATGTCCCACATATCTTAAAGCAGTTATATCATAAGGTTTCTTAGTTACCTTATTTTGGAGATATTGATTGACAAATACTATGCCCTACAGTAAAGTGGAGGTTTAATTCTCCATGTTTCCAGGTACATTACTCAGTCCATAATGGGATTTTTTAAGCATACATAAAAAATATCAAAGTGGACATGTATCTTTTAAGATATTTCAGAGTATAACTAGGATTTAAAATTTGAAAAAGCAAGTTTTGTCTATCACACTGCATCTTGATAGGGAAAATTACGCAATTTTTAAGATAACTTAATAAAAAACGTAATTTACAAAAAATTCTATCATTCAATATTTTTTAATTTACGTTGAAACACAAATCCTTCATATTATTGATTAACTGTAAAAGTTTCGAATGATGAAGTTGACCTCATTATTTCACAGGACATCGTTAAAGAGGACATAAGCATGACAAAAACGTGTCATGTTACATTTCTCGAGTACGGGAAAAACCAACTATGACGTCACACGTAAGCTAAATAAGTGAAATAAGATATACCTACATAAGATTTTCGTCTCTGTTCACAGAGCATGATATTGCTGTACTAACAGATCGTGTATGACGTCACCGACTTGTTGGACTCGCAGTTTTGGGAAACAGAGGAGTGGATCAATCTTTTTTATAATTTTCAATGTTTATAAGAATGTTAAAACTTTTTTATTTTTTATATATAAGATGGTAATTAAAGTTAAAAAATTGTCAAAAAATTATACAAGAACTGATGCTTTACACGTTTTGCACTTATATAAATGGAGACTATGAGGTAGTTAAACAGAGTCATGTGACCATGTGTCCTTCATCCCCTTAAAAGACCCAACACAATTTTCACTAATTCTTAATTTCCTTCCCTTGAAAGAGTGGCATGGCCTTTCATTTGAAAAAAAAAACAAACTTATATCCCCTTCATCCAAGGATGTTTTGCAAGTTTGATTGAAATTAATTGGACTAGTGGTTCTTAAGAAAAAGCCGAAAATGTAAAAATTTTATTTATTATTATTATTTATTAGTTACTTCAAAAGTTGAAATTTCTTACCTCATCCTTTTCTTTCAAATTTTCTAGATACTGCAGGAAATCTTCAGGGTCTACTCTGGCCTTAAATTCCTTCAAAACTTTCCCTAGTTCAGACTTAGGCTCTTTTTCGTGCTCTTTCTCAGCGACCACTACCTGAGAACTAATATCAGGAGATATCTGTTCTCTTGGTGCACAGTTATGTCCATCTTTGCATTTGTTGTGCAGTGTGATTTTTATTTGTAATTCAGCTAAATAAGAAAAATATGTAAAAGTAGAATTAATCTGTTGGAATACTGTTAAGAAAAGAACTTTTTTAAAGGTAAGTACGGAAGGAAGGGTAAAATGGTAGGCACATTTTTTGAGAATAAAAGTACAGAACTGTTTTTTGTACATGTACAAGTACATGTACTTCTCATAATGTATATCACGTAATTCTATACACGTAATTGCAATTGTAACACTCATTTTTTTTAAGTTCACTGTAAGTGGCAGCCATTTAATAGAAAAAAAATCACAAAATATGTTAATCTTCTTTCTTTAGTAATTTGTACATTAGGGTGACAAATGGAAAAATGCAGTTTACATGCTATACCTTTAAAACCTTTTTTGTGAAGTTTTGATATTGCAATTGGTGATTTCATGTAAATTAATTAAGATAGGTGAAAGTTACCATTATGAATTTTGTGATGAGCAGCTCTTTTCAGTCTACTTAATAGGCCATCTTTAAAAATTGTTTGCCTCTCCTAATTGACTGGCTGAAAATGGCCCGACTCAAAACTTTTTTTTTAACCTCCAGGAAATAATTGTTTTTTATTCATTCTGGAATTTTCTTATCCTGTCAACAACTTTTTTTTAGTTTATAGGTACTTTAAATTTTAATAGATTTTGAACATTCAGCATTGATGTTGAAAATTTCTGGGAGAAAAAAATTCTCCCACCTACCTACCAACCCAATTTTTTTTTATCCTGAGTAGGGAGAGGGCAATTAAACAAACATTATTTTAAAGATGGCCTTATGTATTACAGTTTATTGAAATCTGACTAAAACTGTTAAAGAGAACTCAAAAGCATTTTGAAAGAATTTCAGAAAAATTTATTAATCAATATTTGATGATATCTATATCTTAGTTCACAGCTACCATACTTACTGCTCTTTTCAATGAACAACTTGAAGAGGTGGTTGAGCTTGAGTTCTGGGTGTTGTAATGCCTCCAGTAGATGATTCTCCCAGTTTGGTCTTCTCCGAAGTCTGTCTAACAATTCCTCCACTGCAATCGACCTCCCCTTGTTCAAAAGTTTTGTACGAACCCTGTCCTAAAATATTATCAAGTTTAAATTCAAACATATGATGATTCTATAACTATTATATGACTATATGAACCAATATACACATGATATATATCAATATTTTTCTGAAGAAAATCCATTTATAATTATATGTACATATAATTATTGTCATTCACCTTTTACTTACTGCAGTTATTTTATATGTAAAAATTTGGATATTTTTTTAACTATCTTTTTAAAAAAGCTATTTTTAATGCTTTAATGTACATATGATCATAATTGAAATTCTGACAAGCAGGTCAAAGGCAGGAATAATAAATAGCCTTCTCCTTAGCAAGCAGTTGTTTGATATTGTTTATGCATGAAACAAAACTAAGCTTACTTGCCCTGTGGAATCAATATAATGTGAAGGCAATGTCTTTCAAGATAGAGCTTTCACCTAATAATTAAGGCACAGTGAATTTTTATGTAAGAATATAAGTTAACTTATAAACATAAATTAGCCCCAGTAAAATAAAATGAACCCACTTTTAAGTATTTATTCTGTTTTTTAATACCTTTAAAAATTGGTTCCCGTATAAATTAATACATGTACTAATAAAAGTCTAACATTTCCAATGTTTTTCTGAGCGGGCATAAAAATTGATGTTTGACCGTGGAGTGAGATATTGGACCTGTTGATGAGATGTTGGACCGCTAACATCACATAATGGGCGGGGTTAGCTAAATCTCATTTGCATTCATTGGTGTTAAACAAATGTCAAACAAATAATAATAATAAAGTAAATTATTATAAATAAAAGGTATTACAAAACATTTATTGACTGTGTTCTCGGGCAAAATGTGTTTTGTCGACCCCTTGAACCAAACTGTTTGCCTTCGGCATATCGGCCTCAGGCAAACAGTTTGGTTCTTGGGTCCGACAAAACCCATATTACCCTTGAACCCAGTCAATAAATGCATAATACTGTTATATAAGTGCAACAGGAAAGGAGAAAATGTAAGACAGGACCAGTAATTGAACCCTGGACCCCCAAATCACTAGCTACGTGCTCTAACCACTGATCTACCCAGGCTAATATCAGTATCCTCCCTCCTTTGTCTTTGCCCTCGAAAACACACAATCCAGATACATTAGTCCCAGGCAGGATCATAAATTCCACAGCCAAGTACAAACTATGCAACAAGAGAGGAGAAAATATACAAGGCTGGACAAAGAATGGAACCCAGGACCCCACATCATTCTAGTCAGGTGCTCCAATCAGTAAGCTACCCAGGCCATTATCCACAGCCAAAACACAAGAAACAGCAACACTGAATTTATCAAGTCCAGGGTAAATATAGGCATTGATATATATCTTACTATGTCATCCTCAGTCAGACAACCTGCTAGGTAATCCATGAGAAGTTCTGGATCCACATCCTTACGGAAGTCCTTCTGGATTTCTTTATAAAGTCTGAATTGTCTCTCCTGTAGATCAGACATGTCTCCAGTCTACACGAAGATCTGATGGTGGGACTATTCCGTGAGTTCAGATTTACTCAAATCTGAAATATGGCATTGTTAACTAAATAATAAATTTTTCACCGTTTTCTGTTTAAAAGTTTAACTAGCGAAATGAAAGTAACGCTACTGCAAAATTTCTGAATGTTTGTTCAGAATATTATAAGTGTTCTTACAAAATAATAATAATAATAATGTATTCTGGTTTATTTGTTAAGTAGTATAAACATGATAAATAGCAAAATGAAAGTAACAACATTGCACGACTTCTAAATGTTTGTTTTCTTGTAGTCCTAAACTTAATAAAATGTTAAATTTTAGGTTATCTATATATCCTGTGAACGCAAATAATAAGAAAATACCTTAATAATTACAGTGTTAATGCTGTAAACTCGCATAAAAAACGAAAGCTTTTCGGACTTCATGGGAAATTCCAGATCTAAATATAACACGTACAGGCTTGCTTAGTTGCTCGCATTTCGAACCCGACCTTTATTAAAGATTTGACTAACTTTTATCTATATATATTTTTAAAATTCCAAAATTTGATTTTAAAACTTGTATATACTCTCCACACGTAACGTTCAGGCACTTAGTATCAGGGCTGATTTGTAAAATTTTTCTTTTCGAGAAAGTCTCAGTCTAATTAAAATCAGATCCTTTGATCCGCTCACATAGATTGCAACACAAGGTTAGCGATCTTTGTGAGCGGATCAAAGGATCTGATTTTAATCAGATTGGAGAAAGTCTGAATCTTCTTTCGAGTTTGGGCAACTTTCCTTCTGAAAAAACCATCCGTGAACTCTGCCCTCTCCCGTTCTGAAATTTCTGGATACGCCACTGTTGACACTTTTGGAGATTGATAACAAAACACAAGAATACGTATATGAATTTTTACGCTAGAAAATATTGTATTTCACACTGCCCAAAGTTTTATTACATCTGTACATATGCAGTCTTACAAGAAATTGTTTCTGGGGTGAAAATAAACTCTTTCGATGACACACAGAAAATTTTACAGATTTTAATTAAAAATTAAAAAAAAAAAGTTAATTTCTTACTGAATTTTTGAAGTTACATGTATTTAAGCAATTTTCTGTTATACCTATATGCTAAACCTGAATTTTTGTAACAATTTTATTTACTTTTAATTAATTCAAGAGATTTACCACAAAAATCCTAGCAAGTTTTTTTTTGTTTTTTGTTTTTTAGTTTACATGTATATGTCTAATGTCATGTTCAATACAAAATTTCGAAGTTTTCATATTCCATTTTTTTATATTTATGCCCACTCAGTATAAATTCAAAAGTTAGAACAATACCTTAGGTTTTGGACCCAATTTTACAAATTAAAAGAACTTCAACCAAGAAATTCCAGCTTGTCCTTAAATATGATATACTTACGAGGGTTATCAAAACGTTTGGTGACTGCCGCTGAAGCTATATCAATGAAATTTTAACATATTTACTCAGCAACATCTTTTCTAACTACATAGAATAAATTATAAATCAAATCATACGTTTTATTTTCTAGTAAATTGTCAATCTTTTTGTAAGCAACGGTGTGACCACGCGACGCAACCTCAAACATGTCAAACGTGTTTCCACCTGAGTCCAATTTTATAAAGATCTTTCGATATAACAGCATTTGTCATCCAATAATCACGTTTATTAACTCATGAGGTGTGACAAATGTTCCATAAAATTTGCTATTTTTAATTTATTCTGTACCTTCTAAGAAATCTTACTGTAAATTTTTATATAGAATATCGAAACAATTAAAGGATTAAAAATGACGCCGGAGGGGGGAAGGGATGTCTTTTTTCCGCGTTCTCTGAAGATTTAATAACTGGCATAGACCTGGGAAATGTTAAAACAGGCAACAGGAAAATAAAATCCGTTAAAATCACCTATTTTTAGATGTCTAAAAGGATTTAGAGAGAGGACAGACACACATTTAGTGCAGATTTGTAGTCAATGTGTCCCAAATAATCACGTCAAAAAGTCACGTTGCGGTAGAAATATATCTCCGACGAGCGAATTAAGCTGACATAGTCGAGTGAGGATCTTTCCCATATAATTGCATAGATCAATTTACAAAATATGCATTGAAATCAGCTGCTCATGACATTGTACCAAGTCATATAAACAAGACGGGTTTTCAGTCTTCATACAACTCCCAGGAATCATGGGCGGATACAGGATTTGTGATTAGGGGGGGGGGGGGGCGTGGATAACTTTGTTCAGGCAGGGGGTCTGGGGGCCGCCTTAAGGCCCCCATTGGGTTTTCGTGTATTTTAAGAGTAAAACCAGGCACAATAATAGGGGTATTGGTTAGTTCATATGTACCAAAGTTTGGCATTATTAATACTAGTCATATCATACTTTGAATAGAGGGGGCCCAGGGGGCGAAGCCCCCGGAAGCTCCTGGGTTTTCGTGTATTTTAAGAGTAAAACCAGGCACAAAAATAGCGGTATTGGTTAGTTATATACCAAAGTATGGCATTATTGATATTAGTCATATCATACTTTGAAAATTTTAGGGGGGGCGTGCGCCCCCCACGCCCCCCCTTAAATCCGCCAGTGGGAATCTCATCAAGAAAAGTGTATCGAGGCAGAGGGAGCGGACATTGATTAGCAATGACGTTGTCGAACGTCATGAAACTCAACGGCGAAAGCGCTAGATGACCATATATTTATCCTTTGTATTTGAGGATTATTTGAAAATTCATCAGCGTATCAAACTAAACTTTTGTTGTTTTACGATCCCTATAAATTCTATAAGTACAGCCTCTTTGCTATTGGTTTTATCGCACCACTCCACGAATTTTTTGACAACCCCTCGTAGTAATTTTGTGAAAATTTGCTTTTCGAATTAATTTACGGAAGAAAATCATTGTGGCATCATACATGTATTTTCGTCTTTTAAAACCTTTCGTAAAGCAGACCCATAAGTCATCATGCATTTATACCTTTATAACAACTTTAAGCAT